GTCGGATATTAGGAAAACTATTTTACCAGGAGGGTGATGAAGCACTGGAATGGGTTATCTAGGAAGGTGGTAGAATCTCATCCCAAGAGGCTTTTAAGCCCCAGCTTGACAGAGCCCTGTCTGGAATGATTTAGTTAGGTTTGGTCCTGCTTTGGGCAGAGGATTGGACTTGATGGCCTCCTGATGAATCTCTTCCAGCCATATGATTCTATGATTCCAAATTAAGGTCTAGGTTTATTGAGCCAGGAAAAGGGGATGTGCCTGGAATTTGATAGTTTTGCATAATATGGAAAGGGAGAGGAGAGAGAGAGGAGGAACACAATCTTCAGTCACCACTGGGGGGCAGTGGGCAGAAGAGAACTATCCTGCAAAATGACTACTGGGACAGCTACACCTCCAACAGTGTGGTCAGCTGGGGATGGGGCTCCGCCATCTTGCATGCCACAGGTAAGTGGTCTCCCTGGATAAAATCCAGCCCCAGCCATCCCCCACAGGACCCACTGGTGTGCCCTCCCTCCCCCCACCTGCACCACTGGGCTACCCAGAGTGGCAGCTGCAGGCTAACCTGCATGGCTCCCCCCCTTCTCCTCACTTCCTGCTTGGACCACGGAGTGCTGGTGTGGCGCTCCCTTCCCACATTGCTCCGCCATGTATCTGGGTAGCTATAGCAGGGGAAGGCCCAGAGAGTCCCAGCCCAGGAGAGGCCTGCACAGCCCCAAGACCCAGTCCCAGGATGGCCTCCCTTTCCCAACCCCCATCTTCCAACCCACACCCCAAACTCTGGGCCAATCCCCCTTCCCAAACCCCAGCAAGGCCCCCCATCCCTGAGCCAGGCCCCCAACCAAGCACCAGGCTTCCCACCCTTCCCTCTGACCCTGGGCTGGCCTGCAGCATGCAGGTAGGAGACCTATACCCCCAACTCCATGGCAGGACTTGGGAAGTGCCGGGTAAGTCAGCTAGTTTAAAATAAAATGAAGGGCATTCATGTTTATAGGCACTACTTACATCTGAAGATGACAGTCCACTTAGGTAGAGAATGGGGTTTTGAGATGAAGTCAAGTTGGGAAATGAAATCTGCAGAGTGAGTTGTGGCACTGGAAAATGTTCACCTTTTTCAATCTATAAGAAACAAGAACAACACTGTTTCCTGTCTTCTAGTTAGCACCTTCCTTATCTTATTGGTGTTTCTGGTCCGTCCCCCGACCCTCACCCCACTTCAGAACTATGCAATCAGCCAGTGGTGAAAGGGAGCATGATGTGAGCTCCACTACATTTATTCCAGGTGCAGCCAGGTAGTAATCATCCTCTTGAATTAGCTAATACAGTTTACTGTGTGTCTGATGAATAAACAGGTGGATGCAAAAAAAACAAAACAAAAAAAGGGCAAAAGAAAGAAAGGATTAAAGATTCATTCCGAGTTTCTGTTTTGACATGTTCTAGTCACACCCTTGTATAGCTCATCTGCTTTCCATTTAGGACTTGTATTACATGAATTCCTACGGGCTTTTATTCCTATTTGGAACTGTGTGTTCAAGTCCAAAACCATGCTTTAACTTGGGAAGCAGTACAGAAGTCATTATTAGGAAAAGAAAATGGCTTCTGGCAGCAGTACTGCATGGCTCAAAGGAAGGTTCTTCTTTGACTCTTAGTACAGCTCTAAAGCAACAGGTTTCTTGCAGCTCCACTCTGGACCTCTCTTGACTCTGATTGTGTTGTTTCTGAGATCACAGTGGTTTCACACCTGCTCGCTCACTCCCACATGCACACACAGCTGTAGGTTTCTGCTCCTTCTCAACTTGCACTCTGTGGGAAAGGATGGGGAGGAGTATCACTTATAAGCAGGGTCTCAAGGTAGCAGCAGGGACACTATGAGATCTCAGCCTGTGCTCTCTGCAGCCTCTCCACTCCTGACTTCATTCAGTCAAGAAGGGTTTAGAAATCAGTTTATCCCATCTAAAATAATCTCTTAATTTAAACATTAAGACAAAGACTAGAGATTACTGCATCTACACATAAATGTTTAAAAGTATAGGTGGTTAATAATGCCTGGGTAGGGGATAACATCACAAAGGTATAACAATTTCACCTTTGTAATTATTGTATAGAAAGAGCTAATCTTTTTCCATGGCCCATCTACTATAGACAGAAAGTTGCAGAATCAGACTTTTCATAAAACAAAGACCAATATTCAATGCTAGATTTAAAACTGGGAAACAGGGATGTTTTTAGGGATAATTAAAATCAGTCCTGCTACAATGTGAGGGATTTATAACCCACTAAATGTATTTTCCAGCCCAACTATTCTACTTTGCCATCTTCATTTAATTAGAAATGCAGTGTCCTTAGAGCATGGTACTTCCTTTCTTCAAAGTCAACTGGTTTCTGGAAATATCAATTCTCAACAATAAGTAAAAACTGTAATGAATTAAGGGCAGCGTCCAGTTTCAATGGCACATGCATTCTCATTGTGAAAGCAGAGATCATCTGGAATGGCTCCACGGCCCACAGATCTTATTTGAATACCACTGATATATAATATTTTGAAAGCAAAGAGCACAAAATGCTGCTGTAGGAAGTTTAATATATTACATATGTGACTCTTAGATAATAGGTTAGCAAAGGATATAAATGCTTTCAAAAACATAGAACTAGTCCTTTACAATGCCTTATACCTTACCTTATAGCTTACCTTATAGTTTATGTTAATTTCATCCCCAATATTTTCAATTGTATTTATAACAGCAGGAACTGTATCATTTGCTGCAATTATAATATGGGGTTCTTTGGGATCTTTCAAATGACTGAGGGTTACAGAAATAACAAAACCGTTATAATGATCACACACAGTTAATTATAGAGATCTTTTTGTTACTTTGTTAATCCTTCTGGGCTAGTTTTCTTACAGCAAGTATATTACTATTTCCATTAATGTTCAAGTCATCTGTTTTCTAAGAAGTACTTATCTTTTAAAATATTATTTACATTGCACATCCCTTGTTTTATTAAAACTGTATCAGAAGACCTCATTCAGAAAGGAAAGAGATTTAAGGCCTGATTCTGTCCTGCTTTGCTGAAATGGAGTAGAACTTTACTCCAACTATAGTGCCAGGCAAAAGGGCAATATCCTAGTCAACAAACAAAGAGGATATAACGAGACAGGCCACATTTAGCTCTATTCCATATGGGTAGGACTTATATTTAAAGCTAGATTTGACAACTACTTATTATGGATTATTTAAATCAATGAAGTAACACAAAGAGGGAAAATTTTCAGAAGTACAAATTGGGGTTAGATACTTAATAGCCTTAAGATGCTTTGAACATCCCAGTTGGAATGAATTTAGTCTAATCATTTACACACACACACAGTGCATCCCATATCAATCTATGTAGGTGTAGTCACCACCAGACAGAGTTGAACCTGGGAACTCTGGACCTCAGTATAGTTGCCTCTGGAGCTTGAGCTATAAAGCTAGTTGGCACTCAGCTTAGGCTGTAGAGCTCCTTTGTTCTTATCTCTCGCTGTAAGTGGTATAAATGCCACTACATGAGACAGTAAACCACAGTAGGTGTATGGGTTACATAGGCATACCCTGTATACATATTTCTAGGGATGGAAGCCAAGTGAATTTAAACTGAGGGCAAAAAAAAAAAAAAAAACTTGAATTAAAAATGTATATGGGAACTGATAAAAGGCTTTTGGGAATCTGGAAATTAAGGCTATTTTATGAATCTTAAAAACAAAGTACAAAAGAGGGCCAATAAAAAATGCTAGTTTTCACTGGGAGGGAAAAGTTATGCTTTTTAATGCACCTGACACACGTATGAATGAACAGAACAGGAGGCTAATGTAGGCATTCGAAGTTGCAAATGAAGCCCGGGATTTAAATATCCTGGGCTTGATTTGCATCTTCCCGGCTGCCGCCATTTTTAAATGTCCCTTAGTCCGAACTCCGTGCCCGCGGCTACACGCGGCACGGAGTAGGTAGTTCGAATTAGGATCTCTAATTCGAACTACCGTTACACCTCGTTCCATGAGGAGTAACGGTAGTTCGAATTAGAGATCCTAATTCGAACTACCTACTCCGTGCCGCGTGTAGCCGCGGGCACGGAGTTCGGACTAAGGGACATTTAAAAATGGCGGCAGCCGGGAAGATGCAAATCAAGCCCAGGATATTTAAATCCCGGGCTTCATTTGCAACTTCGAATGCCTACATTAGCCTCCCTAATTCGAACTAGGGGGCTAGTGTAGACATACCCTAAGAGAGTCAAAGCAAGCTGCTACTACACAAGTGATCTTATCGATCACATATACATAAATAAAAAGTACCTGTAGTCTGAAAGGGGCAGTGATCCCTATTATGTCATACAACTGCTCTTTTTAATGAGCCCTTGGTTTCTTATTCATGAGAGCAGTGTTTGCCTTTTGTGCACACTAGCAACCACACTCCAACAGTAAACCCACACATATTCTCTTTAAATGTCTGCTGTATGCCATACTATAAAATTAAGTACAGAAAAAACATTAGTACCTTAGAAATATTAATCCCATTTCATATTTTACCGGAATTATAATGTCTCCTTCATTGTCAGAACGGGTCTCAAGTGGTTCTTCGCTGTCACTAGAACATAACACATGCCATTCTGGTCACATTCTGAAACTCATCAGTACACAATACATATAGTTGGTGGGGAGGGCCCTGATAAAATGAAATACCTACAGCTGTGGGCATAAAAAAATACTGGCCTCTTCAAGTTAATTATGGTCTCTTAAAAAGAAATTGAAATGGCTCTTTCCAGTAAGTAAAAGGTACATACTGTATTAGGCCAAAGTCAAAATTACACCTTTGTAGAAATGAGAATACAAACTGCTATAGATGGAAAATAGCAACATTATATCAAGTAGGAGCCATCACCATCACACAATCCCTGTAATTTCCTGTGACAGCATATATTACAGTCAGGTGCAGTACAATTTACCCAGCATCTATGTCAAGGCACCTCAATCCTGACCTGCTGCAATAGCATTGCTATTTGAGGCCTAGGCCTCTTTCCTTAACAGAGACTGCAAATTGTGTTCCAATATAGTATGGTAATTTTGTAATCAGAACAGATACCTTCTGTGTTTGAAGATAGCAAATCAGACTCACTTGTGAGACTCATTGGCCTCTATAAATGATTATCCACTTATTTAATCCACCTCATCTGATGGCCTCAAATCAACCCATAGTTCTGTACTTCGCTAAAGCTGGCTGTTCTAGACACTCAGTATTTGCTTTTGAACAAAACAAAACAAAACAAAAGTCCTCTCTGTCATGCCAATGGGGCACAAAGCTATACAATGACTAAAAGTTAAGTTTGAGATACGAAAGCAGTAATTTTGGTAACTAACCTTGTTACATACACCCTAAGAGTAGCATTCTCCAGGAGAGAAGCAGCATTGAACTGGAATACTATTCTGAAGGAAATCTGAGGGAGAAAACACATTTAAAAAAGATAATAGGAAAGGAAAGTAATACTCAGCTAAACATTAAAATTTACTCTGATGAAAACTGGCTAAAGTCATTAATTCAAAAATCTTGGAGTCCATACTCAGATTTTAGTCCATCCCCAAAATACAAAGGAAATCTAATAGCAATTAGGCTATAACACGGCAGGGCTAATTTTTCAAAACTGGGGACCTAGAATAAAACTGAATATATAATGTGTGTAAAAAAAAATTGCATTGGAAATAAAGTCACATATTTAAATTCCATTTTGTAAATTTATTTTCCTTGATTTAAGAATCTCACATGTGTTTATCCGGAGAGCCATCTTCAACAGCTATTAGGCTTTGGGACTATCTGTATATAAAGTCCTGGTAGTTATAGTTGGAGTAGGCTGTTTCCCTTCTTCATTTAGAAGAGACTGCATTTGTCTATACTAATGGGATTGAAATTTTAATACATGGCAAAGGTATCTAGAGTGTTGAATTGGCATTTTTTTAATCTTCTGATTAAAATCTAAATAAATAATTCTGGATTATTACTGATGACTAAGTGGAGTATCATGTGGTCACTTAGGTTCTGTCTACACAGCAGTGTTATTTTGGAATAATGTGAGTTATTCCAAAATAATGTAATGCACGTTTCCAAAATAACGTAGTGCATGTCTACACAGCAAGCCCGTTATTTCAAAATAAATTTGAAACAAGCTTCTTACTCCGACTTCTGTAAACCATGGAGACTGAAGGAAGTTGGGGGAAGAATGCTCTATTTTGAAATAACTGCTGTGTAAACAATGCCAAAAGTCAAAGCAAGCTATTTCGACTTAAGTTACACAATTAGCGTAACTCAAATAGCGTAGCTTATTTTGAGTTTAGCCCTGCTGCACAAACATGCCTTTAGAATGCTTTGGAAGCTCTATTCTAAACATGCACAGCTCAACATCACTAGATAGATTATACCATATCAATTTTGGTTTGGTTTAATGAAAATATAGCTTTTAGTGATGTACAGTAAATGTTATGTAAATGTTATGTACTTTGCAGTTTGTTAATTTAAAGGATTTGAACTCAGACTCTTTATTTTTCCATTGGTGTAAATGTGTGCACAGCTTTAGAGTAAGTGATGCAGAGTACATTGTCTGGATAATTTCAGTATATAAGGAAGTCAGGTAGAGGCCTAGAAATGTTTTGGCACTATTTATTAGCCAATTAGATAAATTAATATCTGAATAAAAATGAGAGTATGAGACATCTTGGATTTCAGATTGAGTGGGAATTAAAGGCTCTCGCCACAGACAAAGTGATGATTATAGGTGGAAAGTAATATGTGAATACTCTTAAGAAGCTGCGAACAGGAACAATAAGCAGTGGGGTTTGTCCTGATTTGTCTATATGGTTGATTTAGTTGCTACAGGTTAGAGACTGGAATAGTATGTGGGTGTGTGTGAGAGAATCTAAAGTAATTTATTATATCTGCACAAAATTTGGTATACCCAAAAGAAAGGAGATAAGTTTATTGTGCTTAGCTATTTTTCAAACATTAAAGTCCAAATTTAAATGTCTGCATTTGGGCATTTGATTTAATCACCAAAGAATTCAACTGGGCTACCCAAAGTCCATTTATAAAATGTAAAGAAATAGGTTACACTTGTTTAAACATTTTACTTCTAGGACATTTCTTCTGCAAAACATTGAGGCTGTGTCTACACTGGGCCACTTATTCCGGAAAATCAGCCGCTTTTCCGGAATAAGCTGCGAGCTGTCTACACTGGCCCTTGAATTTCCGGAAAAGCAACGATGCTCTACTGTACAAAATCAGCCGCTATTCCGGAAAAACTATTCTGCTCCTGCTCGGGCATAAGTCCTTATTCCAGAACACTGTTCCGGAAAAGGGCCAGTGTAGACAGCCCAGTAGTCTTTTCCGGAAAAAAGCCCCGATCGCGAAAATTGCGATCGGGGCTCTTTTCCAGAAAAGCGCGTCTACATTGGCCACAGATGCTTTTCTGGAAAAAGGGCTTTTCCGGAAAAGCAGCCTGCCAATGTAGACGCTCCTTTTCCGGAAAAACTGAAGACGGAATAGTATTCCATTTTAAGCAGTTCCGGAAATTCATGCCAGTGTAGACACAGCCTGAGGTTATAGGAAATTTTCTTGCATCTCAACAATTCATTTTGTATAAGCTCAGCCAAGTTCCCTATGGAAAGTCTAGAAGAAGTTGAGAGTTCATGAATATGGTGTACCACAAGCAGAGCAACAGGCTACACCATCTATCTGTGAACTACTCTGTGTTGGAGAACCCCCTTAAATACTATCTCTAGCATTGATGCCTCACTTCCAGGGAACCAGGACAGAGCTAGTATGGACCTGCAGCCCATGTGGAGGCACAAAGGCTGGGATTCACAAAGATACGGGGGATTAAATCCCAGATATTGGTGCCTCAATCTCTAGTTCATGTTCTACCATAATCCACAAAACTCTTAGGCTATGTCTACACTGGCGGGTTGTTGCGCCAGAACTATGCAAATGAGGCTAAGCGTGGAATATCGCAGAGCCTCATTTGCATACCTAATGAGCTGCCATTTTTGCAGAAAAGACTCTTGTGCTAGAAGGAGCTGTCTACACTGCCCTTTCTTGTGCAAGAAAAATCCTCTTGTGCAATGCCGCTACGCTGATTATTTTCAGGAATAATGGCATTGCACAAGAGGGTTTTTCTTGCTCAAGAAGGGGCAGTGTAGACAGCTCCTTCTAGCGCAAGAGTCTCTTCTGCAAAAATGGCGGCTCATTAGGTATGCAAATGAGGCTTGGCAATATTCTATGCTTAGCCTCATTTGCATACTTCTGGTGCAAGAGCCCTCCAGTGTAGACATAGCCTTACTGAATCCTGTAGGGAAGTAAAACCAGTGCCTATATTTCCAGAGTAAAATCTCCCTCTGGGCATGTGCATTGCTGTCTCATTAGAAGAATCCTGGAATGAGGAGTACAGCTAGTTCGGATTAGAAGCCTAATCCAAACTAGCTACTCCGTGCCGCGTGTAGCCGCGCGGCACGGGGTTCGAACTGCCGGCATTTAAAAATGGCGCCGGCCGGCTTTATGCAAATGAAGCCCGGGAAATTCAAATCCCGGGCTTCATTTGCAATTGCGGTATGACTACATTACCCTCCTATTTCGAATTAGGAGGATAGTGTAGACATACCCAGGTTGATTAGCAAGCTAGTCATTCAAAATAGAGAATGGAGTAGTGGTGCTGATATTATAACTTTTACCTCAGCAGTTAGAGCACTCACCTGTGATACGGAGGGACCCATGTTCAAGTCCCCCTTCTGCCTGATGGGGATATTTCAATGTGGCCCTCCTTCAGACTCTCCCCCTGCAGTTGTTTAATTATGGATATTTTTTGAAAGATTAGCAAGCTAGTCATTCAAAATAGAGAATGGAGTAGTGGTGCTGATATTATAACTTTTACCTCAGCAGTTAGAGCACTCACCTGTGATACGGAGGGACCCATGTTCAAGTCCCCCTTCTGCCTGATGGGGATATTTCAATGTGGCCCTCCTTCAGACTCTCCCCCTGCAGTTGTTTAATTATGGATATTTTTTGAAAGAAAC